TAAAATACACAGTTTCTCACACTTTTTAAAGGTTTTTTAGGGTTTCTCTTTGGCAGCATTTCTCCTTTTATGCTCTTTCATGTTCATTTTTGTTTTCAAGTCAAAAGGCACTAAGTACTATCTTTATTTTCCTCAAATTTCAAAGCTCTGGTGTTAAGACAGTCCTAACAAGTTACTTAAATGGTTCTATTGTTTTGAGATTATTGTCACACTTAAATGAAATTAGGGGCAGAGTAATTTTCTACTTATTTTAAGTAGATAGAGATAGCTCTTTTTCAGCCTGCATGTGCATTCTTTGCCTCTGTCTTTGAGGAGAGCTTATGAACAGGAAGGGACCAACTTTTATACAGTCTGATAGCAATAGGACAAGAGGGAATGGCTTTAAGCAGAAAGGAGATTTAGATGAGATGTTAGGAGAAAATTCTTTACTCAAAGAGAGGTGAGGCACTGGCACTGCTTCCCAGAGAGCTGTCCTTCCGTGTTCTTCTCCAGCGTGAAAAATTCAGTTTTGTCGGTGGTTTTGTTTTCTCTGATCTCTAGTAGAGATGTATCTGCAAGCCCTTATAGGAGACAGGTATTTCCTGATCCAGGTGATGCAACATCAGACGAAATTGAGAGAGTTTATGGTCCCAGTAAGATAGAAATCAGTATCCACTGTCTCCCTGTTTGTATATGCTTCACACACAGACTGGAGTTAGAGTTATTTCTGATGCTGCACTAAAGGGTCCCTGGCCTCAAGCACTATGATATTGGTACCATGCTGTGAGGCAGGAGTGTCTGTGCGAAATCTTGGTGAAGAATGCCCTGCAGGTGTGATGGTTGAGTGTATTTCATGCTTTTAAGTCAGGACAGCTTTGGCATTGAGTCTTCTTGTGTTCTGGTGAAGCATTGTGCTTCAGCATTACCTGTCCACACTGGGGGGCACATTGTGCTCCAGGCTGCCCTGGAAGATGCATTTAGGAAGCTGTATGCGCTTCAGTATTGAGCACCCGGGGAGGTACGCAGCACGGACTGGATCAGTTATGAGCCAGAAGGGATGCTGAGCTGAGAAAACCCATTGCAGGAGGGAAACCAGCTTTCTGACCGTGTCAGCCACACAGCCACCTCTGCGTTTGCTGAAACCCACACACACAATCCCCTTTAGTTCCTGCTGCTCCAACGGCTCTCCAGGGCTTCAGCTTGCCACCCTCACCTGACACACCCTACAGATTTTCTACAAAACTAAAGGCAAAGAAAAAACATGTTATGTTCCTTATGGCAGTGCCCAAAGGTACTTTATCTGAAGATAACATCAACAGAGAGAGCCAGCGCAAGTTCTCTTCTCACAAACTATTTCCCAGAGGCTAATGGCAAAGGAGAGAGAAAGAGAGAAACAAGTACTGACAGTTTACCATAGGAACTCAAAGAAAAAGTGGACAAAGCTAAAAGAACTCCAGCTCTTTGTTACCATCTAATCCAGTTTAGAGCACTCGCTGGTGTATACGTTTACTTTCCAAGGCTAACGGAGCTGGATATTGTCATTTGGTAAGAAACAGAGGAAATAGATTTAAAATTTGTCACCCTTCAAGCCTCGTACACTTTAGGAAAATCAGTCTGCAACATACATGAACTCTTAATCTAACATGAAAAGTATGAGCTGCTGGCTAAAACCTCCAAAGGAGCAAATCCTGTTTTCAAAAGATTCAGTGTTTCCTCTTTTTAACACAAACTGAGTGCTGAAGAGAAGGGGTAGAGTGCTTCTTTTGGCTCATGGAAACCACAGGGAAGGCATCCTGTTCCTATCCAAAGAGTACTTTCAAAAAAAGAGTCCAGGTACTAAATATCACAGTGCAACGAAATTATCAAATCACCATTACCAGCTTTTGCCTGGGACAGATGATTCAAACTACATGTAGCCTATTTTCTAATGCTATAAAAGCAAATTAATCTCCAGCTGGATTTGCAAAATGCTGCACTGAAAGAAACTGCAAGGAGGATGTATGAAAAAGAACAAAACCAATACGAGGGTTTGTGAGTGGGAGGCTGAGAGTCTGGGCTAGGAGAGTCAGAGATGGAAAGTTTGATGGCATAGTGCAGTAGGCCCAAATTAGGCAGTTGTATTTGAGTGATTTTAGCATGTTTCCTCAGAAATGCAACCCCAATAGGTGCCAGTAGAAATGGGAGAGTTAGCTAGAATATCTTAGAAAGTATTATGTAAAAAGAAAACACAAAACCATCAAAACTCTTTCCCATCTGTCTGTCCGTTCCCTGCCTACACCCCCATGTGTTTTTTGTCAACTAAAAGGGACCCATAGAGCTTGGGTTCAACTAGTATTGGTCAAACTTCCCATCTTCAGGTGAAGCGAGCCCGTTTAACTGCCTGTATCCAGCCCCGGATGAGACCAGAAATCCAGTGGCTGGTTGGGGATGGCATTTTGTCGCCTGGAGCACAAGGCCAGCACACGGCACACAGTAGCCTGGTTGTGGACCACTCCAGCTGCTTGCTCAGCTCTTTTCAGGGGCACTGCTCATTCTCTCAGAGATCCCTGTCTGTAAGTGGGATGGTAATGAAATAAACCAAAAGGTAACATAGACTATGTACACTTTAGGAAAGAAAAGCTCTACCTGCACAGATGGCACTAGGCCATTATGCGGTTTGTATTAATGTTTCAAGTCAATTGGGAGGATTTGAATGTTAGAAATATTTTGTTGCAAGTTTGAACATCTGACCAGCTATAAGACCAGACATTTGAACGCAAGCAGTGATTGAATTAGGACCCAGAAATGTATCCCTGGCTAGTTTCAAATTAAAAAAAGGAGAGCTTTTAAAAAGGTACAAATGAGACTAAAAGAATTTATGTTATTTTTCCGGTTACTGTGCTATAACTCCTTTTCTGTCTCCTAATCTATCTTCTAAGCATACTACCTTATGAATGAGTGAGCAATAAAAGAAGTATGCAGTGGTTGAGAGAGAAACTCAAGATAACAAGATAATGCAAAACGTAAGCCAAAGTCTGAGCAGAACTACAAATTAAGATGTAGATCTGAATATAAAAGTTTCTTGCATCTGAGTTTTATGGCAGCCATTGGGTGGATGGTTTGCCTAGAAATTTAATTTCAAAACAGTAGCACATAATGTGATACCATACAGGCTAAGTTCACAGCCATCAAAATCTTAGATATATACTTTGTAGGGGTTTTTACAGTATTCCTGTACTGACACATCACTGGATGGACTGAAATAAAACCAAAGCCATTTTAATGCCTTTGAAATCTTTTTTTTTTTTTTTTTTTTTTTTTTCTTCACTGAAAAGGGGCAGAGGAAGAACAGTGAATTAAGAAAACAGGTGCATACTAACCTAAGGTTAGGTAATAGCAATTCCTGTGCCTCGGTGACATAGGAACAGCCATGAATAATAAGCTAGTAGAAAGCAGCTGGTGTCTGCATGGAAAGTTTTCCAAATGTCTAAGCCTAAAAGTGGGGGATTATAGCAAAAGGTTAATTCAGATTTCCATGTCACTGACCTCCCTCCTGCCTTCCAGGCTGCCCAGGTTTGGGACTGCACAGATCTGCTGAGAATTGTTGGGAAAAAATATGAGGCCACACCCTGAACACAGATAATCCCCCACCGGGCTTCCCTCTGCTGCTATCTGCCTGGCCAGGCAGAATGCAATCAGAATTGTTCTGTGCTCTTTGCAAGCCAACACCAGTGGGAAATTAATTGCTTGAATGGTTCTCTCAATTAGTATGTTCTCTAGCACTAGCATAGTATAGCCATGAAGTGAGGGCAGCTATCGGGCTCAGGACAAACAGCAGGGTCTAAGTTGGCATCCAGTTCTAGTTGGCTGTGACTGGGGCTGGTAAGCAAAAAGCAGGAGGGAGAAGATACAGGGATAAAGTTTCAAGGAATATGAAGGATGAAGGGAACACGAAGCTTGTTACTGTCAAAAAGGAAGTAGTGACAACTCAGTCTTAAACATAAGACGTAACATAGAAGAGAATGTGAGACAGAGTGGAGCAAGTCATGATATTAATATTTTGAGAAGCTTTTACATTATTACGGAGGTAGATTTTTATTTCTTTTGTTAACAAGAATCAGTGGCAAAACATGAATGGAATTCCTTCTCTTTACTCTTACTCTTCATGCTTTAAGACAAAGCCAGTTTTCTTGAAGAGTAGCCTGGGCATTTTTTATGCTCCATTATCCATGTGAGAGATAGCAAAATGCTCTAAAGCTTCCAGAAATAACTGGGAAGACTGTGTTAAACTATACATTAAGCAAAGGCAAATTTAAGGCTATGGTATACTGAAATAGTACCTAAGATTTCCAAACTGGAGCACTAACTTGCAACACTTTGAATAGATGATGCCCGCAGGAATGACTGCTCAACTCTGCTGATCAGCGTGGCACCAACAGAAGGATAAGCATTGATAGCATTTATCTGCTTGTTCGCAACCATTTTCAGGTCAAAGAACCAAAATGTGCTTTATTCTGGAATCTCTATTTGCAAAAATTAAGGTCTGGTATCTGTTGCTGAGTTCAAAGGGAATTCTGCATTTGGTGTTTTGTGTAAAGTTGCAGTTGTAAAGGTGGGCTTTTCTGCTAGTTCCTTACTTTGCTGCCATATGCCGAAAGTTGAACAGACAAATCTGAAGCACAGTACACAGTAAAAGTCTTTGGCAAATGAAGGAGAACAAAAGCTGTGGTTAATAAGGATCTCAATTTACCCTTGGTCCATAGGCTATGAAATTAGGCAGTCACCTTCCCTGCTTAACCCAAATTGCAAGTGGAGAATTGGCTTTGCAAGTAGAGCTCAGCTGATACCTGCAACAGCATGTCCAGGAAAGCAGAACCCACAGCTTTGGTGGGAACCCAGCTTATGTCTGGTGACAGTTTATGATGGAGAACAAACTCCTCCACGTGCATCAGATAACCCTGGTTTTGTTTTTTTTTTCCACTTTGATTTTTAAAAGCGTCTAGTTTTTATTAATGCATCATTCTTTGTTCTTCCAAATCCAGATTCTGGAAGAGAACATGAAGTTAGAGTGCAAATGCCATGGGGTCTCGGGATCCTGTACCACTAAAACATGCTGGACAACTCTGCCGAAATTCCGGGAGCTGGGCTACATCCTTAAGGACAAATACAACGAAGCAGTTCAAGTCGAGCCAGTGAGGGCAAGTCGCAACAAGCGTCCAACCTTCCTCAAAATAAAGAAGCCACTTTCGTATCGCAAACCCATGGATACAGATTTAGTGTACATAGAAAAATCTCCCAATTATTGTGAAGAAGACCCCGTCACAGGCAGCGTGGGAACGCAGGGGAGGATGTGCAACAAGACGGCCCAGCAGTCCAATGGCTGCGACCTGATGTGCTGCGGTCGAGGTTACAACACACACCAGTACTCGAGAGTGTGGCAGTGCAACTGCAAATTTCATTGGTGCTGCTATGTTAAATGTAACACATGCAGTGAAAGAACAGAAGTATATACCTGTAAGTGAGTCCGTGGCTGGACAGGCTGACCGTGTCCCTGCCATGAGTACATTTGCACATGCGCTCAACAAACCTACACAAGACCGTAGCAAAGACCTGCTCTCCCAAGAAGAAATGCTGATGAATGGATCCCTGTCTTTTCTTCTTACGTTTGTGGATACATATTTCAGACTCTTAACAAAAGTCATCCAAGAAACAAATAATAAAACCTCAAACTCCACTAAGCCCCCTGCCACATGAGACAGAGAGATGACTTCAATTTATCTGCGCTTCTATAGCAAAAAAGCAGTGACTGCCTTGTGAAGAGACACCGGAGAAAATTTTCTGACCACGGCAATGAACTCTTGGTTTGGAAAAAAAGATGGTCAAAAACTTGTGTGTAGAAGGAGCAGGGAGAGTGGGGGACAAACCCTCAGACACGGGCTTTGCACAGGAGGCGATGGACAGTGCCCCGCTGTGACTCGCCCAAGTGAGTGTGCGGATGATACAGATGTAGGCTTCTACACGTGTGAAAAGCTTCTGCTGGTCTTGCCCATCTTTCCACTTCATAACATTTGCTACAGCGAGCAGAACTGTTGAAATTTTCTGTAGACACTGCTTTATCTGCCTTTTGTGTGCGTGTGCGTGCTGCAGATTTAGCACAGGGATTTGGGACACGTGGGACATAATAATAGCAATATTTAACAATTTATTCAGATAAAACTAATATTAATTTATTTAATTAAAAAGAACTCTACCGACATTTTTGGAACTATTCTGCAATTAAAGTAGATAGCTTGCTTTCTTTGTGGAATAATTTTCTAGAAACAGCAAGGTAAAACTGGAGCTGTATATATCGTTCTTTCCTAGGATATTTCTAATAGTTGGACTTGCAGGATGTGTACTAGATGTTTAAGTACAAAAGTTGGCATTTTATATATATATATGTACATACACAAACACACTGAATTTTTTTTTTTTTCCCCTGTTTGCTGCTAGTTGTCTGGAACAAAAGGTAGTGGTAAGGGTTGCAAATCTTTACCAAGGTTTTTTTCTTTTTTTTTTTTTCCTTCAATTAAAGAAAGAAACATTAATAAAATCCTGTTTGAAATATGTCTAAAAATAAGAAACTCCAGACAAACTTCCATCTTTTGGAAAATCAACCATAGGATAAGAGAGTATATTTTGTAAGAGACTATTTTTATATAAATATTTTATTTATACTACGTCTGCTTGTTCAACCTGTACTTTTTCTCAAAACAGGCATACAATTTGTAATTCTTAGGCTATTTAACAGAGAAAGGCTAATTAGCTTGTGGACACAACAGCAGCAAGCTGGATACATTCAGCTGCAATTGGTGGATGTGTCAGAAAGCAGAATGAACTTTCTCTCCGGATGTGTGTACAAACTGGCTCTTTTCCTGCAGCTCAATCTGCAGAATTTGCAAAACAAGAACATGGTATGTAGCATCAATTTTGTCACATGGCTTGAATTCATGATTGGTATTAACTGGATGCTCACTTATCCCATTCAGGAAAAAAAATCCGAATTAGCTTCCCACATGCATCAGTCATTAAACTCTGGCGTTATGACTAGCAAATGTGCTGTGTGTGCTGTCAGTTAAACCTCTATATTGTGTTACTGTCAAATTTGATTTTAATCAGTGGAAGACTGTAGACTGTGACTGTAAAAACTAGCGTGATACACATCGTCTGCTTCTCATAGATAGGATACAATGCTTACTTTTTGTCCAACTCTCTTTGGCATTTACATTATTCTTTCCTCCAAAAGGCCGGAGCTCAAAAACCCAAAAAAACACCTAGGCAAATTTAAAGACTGCTCTCTTGTTTTTCAGAGCCCAGTTAAACCTTCTTCTGTTCCCTTTATGGCATTTCCTTTTTCATCACTGTTCATTTCTCCAGATATAAGAGAAGCAAATATTTTTCTGCTTTTGGAAGCTTTCTGTTCCTCCTGCTGGATTCTTTTGTGGCTGATAAAAACAATCCAATTTCAATGTTTTTCTTTTTCTTTCTTTTTTTTTTTTTTTTCCCCCATTGGGTAAGAAACGTGGCCCAAAGTTAATGATAATGCTGATAATACAGGATCTCACACCTTTAATGAGGCATCAGTAAGGGCAACAAACCAGTAGGCAGTATGCACCACATTCACTGATTCCTGTTAATAACAGCAAGTGTGGCAAGAAATAGGTGACACGCATCTTGGCACCAATCCTCTTTCTAAGGCATAACTCTCATCTAATACTGCAATGGGGAGAACTGTCAGAAAACTTTTTGAGACAAAACATCCAGAAGTACTTTAAGAGATGCTGCAGTTTCAGTAGGATAGCCTGACCTTTCAGAAGCTGTCTGAATGTGACATGGCTTTCTTTCAAACTCCCTCTCACATATATTCATATAAGAACAAAAGCCCAAGCAGTTTCCTTGCAGTGCATAGCTGGAATTAAATATGGTTTTTGCAGACCTGCCACTTAACATGTCATATAATTTTTCTGTTATTCATGAAAGGTTATGAAAGAGCTAGGTAAAATGGTGAACATAACTTACATTCAAACTTATGACTCGTCAATATAAAGCTATATAAAAGCAATTATTTTCATGGAATTTTCATGCTTTTTGTTCTGAATTCCATGCACCGAGAATTGAGAAGGCATAAAATGTAATGAAGTACATACAATAATGGGTGTTAATTACAATGCTCCATTATGGTTAAGTAGCTCAGATCTAATGTTTAACTTTGGAATCTCTTCTCCTCTGTTTGTATTTATTTTTACTTTTTTTTTTTTTTTTTTTTTTTTTTACATTAGCAGATATCATCAGAAGTGTGTTTTCTTCTCTGATTACAGCTATTTTACAAGTTGTAACTTTTGTAGCATGTTTTTCCATAGGAAACTAACCCATAGGTCTTCTGCTTCCTGTATATTTCAGTATGCAGTGACGTGCAATGGACAGCCAGCAGGCTAATTCTTGAAGGACAAATGTCTTTCAACAGTTTTGCTCATATAATAAAGGAGTGCATAATTAAATGAATTCAGTACACATTAGCCCAACCGTTGGGTTTACAGTACTGCTGCTGATCTGTGCACTACTTAGAGAAAATTTCAATTTGACTGATATCTGAAGTATCAGTTTGCAAAGTATGAATTAAAGGTCAAGGAAAACCAAATGCATTCAACTAGAGAGCATTCGAAAATTTTTGGCAGTGTCCACTTAGATAAGGGAAATCTGGCCATCAGAATCCACTGTGTCTGGAGTTAATTGGCCATTCTCTAAATGTGCTTGAATGGCATAAAGAATAAACAGGAGAGGGAGAAAGATTTACGATCTTGTAGATATTTCTCCCCCCGACAACAGTTTGTTCTTTGTCCTCAGGGATAGAAGAGCTCTGTTTTGACTTGGTGAAGAACCACACAATGGGATTGAAATGCACACAACTGCAGAACAATACAGCCCTCAAAAGAAAATACATCTTTTCATCTGCACTAACCCAGGGAAGTGCTGGATTGCCATCCACATTAACGACCTAGCAGAGATTTTTAGAGAAAGCATACATTCAAGCCGCAGGAAGAGTAAGAGGAGCAGAAAGAGTAAGAGAGCAAACACAACTGCAAGTTGGAAAGCTGTTATTTATGAAATATCACTTCCTTTTTTGATACTAACAGCCTGACTCATGGAAAAGATGCTACTCCAGATTGAGATTCCTATACAGGTTTTAAGGATTTTACCTCGGTGCCTTTTTAAAAGGACAACTAACCTGAATACAATTCACTTGAATACCTGAAGTACCCAAAACTCATATCGGTCAATTACTAAGATTTCTTTGCCATGTATGCACATAGCCTAACGGAGGTATGACTTTCAACAGGGATAATCAAATGAAAAACATCCTTAACATATACACTTACGTGGCTCATTTGGTCAAATTATTGTAAGGGTACACAGTTACTTAGAACAGGAAAGTAATGGACATCTATGATGTTACACAAAGCTCTTAACGAATTACCTCATGGATTATAAAATGGTTTGTTACTGATCACACTTTAAAAGCAGTTTGTTGAATACAGAATCACAGACTGCAGTCAGGTGCACATATTCCAGTGAAGATTCCACAGAAGCACTTCTGACAAGGTTTTAATGTCCATCATTAAAATGGTGCCCAGAGAGGTGCACTGTGAAAATGAGGACATTGACTATTATAGTCCCCTTGCTGATAGCTCCGAGAAGCTCAACCAAACAAGCCCTCCAGCTCCTTTTGGCAAAACAGCAGATGCAGTGGTAGACGTGCACAGACAGGGGTGGCCCAATCTAACTGATACTGCTGCTCTCAGCCAGCAGGGTATCACCTCAGTCAAGGCGTTACTGTTCCCAAACTGTACCAAATTGAACTGAGTACAGGAATTTTATCACACAGCAGAACTGCAAACAATAAACCTCAACTTCATTCCAAAACATTCTTCCTCAATTCATGGTTATCTTGGATAACTCTCACCATGAAAAGTGACGTAGTCTGCTAACCTAAGTTAAGTTTTTGTGGTCAAAACCATACCAAGAATTCCTCAAAGGCAGGTGTTTTACTATTGAACAAAAATTAAGGGAATTCTTCCTCTGGCAACAAACAATAACATATGATTAAGTCAAGATGAGAAGAGATCTAAAGGACTGAAGAGGGATACCAAAACTTGGTGATTCTCTTACCCTGCTCAGAAGAGATGCTGTAAAACCTTTAAGTTTGGTGCTTTGGAGTTTTAGGGAAGTATGTTTTTTCCCTTTTGTTGATACACATTCATGGATTCATTGGTAGCATGTAGTGCCATTGGCAACTAAGAGGGGCCACAAAAAAGTCCCAGAGAAATCACACTTCTAAGGGCAGCATGAGTTGCTGCTCTCAAGTACATCTTTTCTTCCTGTCAGCTATGTCACTGTATCAAACTCTTGTTAAGAAACATTTCTGCTCTGTAACTGGATTTGATATCTCTGGGACAAGTTGAGATTATGTTTACATCATACCTTACATATATACTTAAGGAAATATTTCTAGGCTTGCATGCACAAAACCAAGAATTAAGGTAAAGAGAATGATATCAATATTCTATCAGCACTTGTGCTTATTAAGTCATAGCCAAATTCTTTTCATGTGAAAATGTAAAGTTAATTTTTGTGTTTCCTCTGCTAGCTTGCATCCTTTCTCTACAACAAAAAAATACGTTTGGTGTATCATACCAGATCCACAGTTAGTTTTGTGGCTGTTCATACAAGCAGTTCACTAGCAGTATGTCACCAACCTGATACAAGCAGCACATAAACCTTGTGCACCTCTTACTGATATTAATGGACAGACAATTTTCCTTGGGAACACCACACTATGCACAACTTTGTTGTCCTGCAGTGCTTCACTGTCCTATTTTCACCCAGCATGCCTGCCTACAGCATATATTTGTTACTTGTTATTTTATTTTCTCCCAGCACTTGGAGTTGTGGCTCTCTACAGTGTTTATAAGCTCACTGATCCACCCCTAGTCCCTGACAGCCTGTGCATCATGACTTTCTGTCCATGTGTGGGGATACAACACAATGGAGAAGCACTACGATCAGCACCAAAACCATTCGTCCTCTCACAATGTACCTCTAGTTTTTCAGCCCAAAACAAGAGATCTGGAATTACTCTGCATCCAATACACCATGTCCCCATAACTCATCATTTCAGTACTATTCAGAAATTCATATTGGCAGTTATTTAAAACAAAATTAAATAATGGGCCAGAACAGGTGTTCTCTAGTTGGTTAGACTTGTATAACAAATCACAGCAAAAACTGGAAAAGTAGTGCTGAGGTTTTTTTCTCAGTCAGGTAGATCCATCAATTCGAATGGGATAGCACAAGAACTTGCACCAGAGATGATGCTTAGTTTTGAAGTTGTAGAACTTACAGAATAAATTAAATCAAAATCAATTTAAGGCACTTGTGGTATAGTCACTGGCATTACATTTTCCTGTGACACACTCTGACCCATTCACAGCATAGATATTCTCCAAGTGATGACAACAGTATTTTTCAGAGAGGCCATTTCCAACAAACTTTAACAGACTGCTTTTTGGTGTGGTCAAGGAAAAGCAGTTTGTCAGAAATTTATCACAGAGAGACACAAGAATAACCCAGAATGATAAAGAAACTAATGTCCTATTGGAGATAGGGTGCAGCCTGGAAAAGCTTTGGAAAACAGAAGCAGCATTTAGGAAGGAAAATCCTTGAAAATTTCCGAGCACAGAAGACTCATTACTGAGTGTCCCAGGGAAGGAAGGCTTAGCTGAATGGACAAATTTCAGCCCAAGCTAAGGCTGCTTAGTTGTTGCCCAGCTCGTAGTGCAATGGTATTTGGCTCAAAGCAAAACCAAGCATCTATTTCATTGAATCAGCAAGAAAACTGTTTTGTGAGTTGTTTCATGCACTTAAGTTATCTCCTAGCAACTATTCCTTCATAAGCGAGCCCGCAGTAATACGTACTATGGGTGGCTACACATCTGTCCATATAG